TTCTTGGTAGTGACGAGGACGTGTCTTCAACGAAGACCGAGACTCAGGAAAGGTCTATCGTTGGACTATAGAACTATTTTATGTCAAGTTTCAGCCACCGGATTTGACCTGAATTTAGTTTGAATAGACGTCGCCGACTGGTACGGTTCTTGGTTCGCAGCCTTTATCTTAGAGATGGTTGGCCGATTTGCAACTCTCTTTCTCTATAATAAGTTTATTCTTCGATCAGATTTACTCGGAGAACGAAGAAATTTAGAAATTCCGAACTGGAGTGTAAAAAGCAATAACTGCTGAGCCAATTCACATTACCGACATCAATCATTCTTGGAAATCGTTTTTGACGGACTATTTTACCTATTCTTACATCGGCCCTTAACAAAAAACTCTGGAATACCCTCTTCACTTTGTAAACGACTGAGCCAATTCATATCGAAGTAATTTTATCTTTTATGCCGAGTCCGTGTGTGATGGTGCTTTGATTTTGGGCGAGAAATACGCTCGTTGATATAGTCTAAGATCGGTGCCAAATATGTAGAAGCTGAAAAGATCTCAAGAGTACACAGGTTTCAACAGGCAATACAAAACGAATAGCACAATTATTAAAGTAAGCGAAGAAGTTTTGTCCAAAACTGTTTGTCCAGTTGAAAGCTCGCTAACTTCTAACTGCCTCTCATTGTCACTCAGAAACTACCAAACGTTTGAAGTCGGAACAGTTCTCCTGGATTAAGTCGTTAAGCATGAGCGAATTTTTTCCCACTCGATACAATTTTAAAGTGCTCAGTCATAGTCAAACACTATTTGACAGCGATAAGAAAGTGAGAAAGTACCTTTGCTTAAAAATGGAGTCCATTGCTTGCGTATCCAGAAGACGCTTTAAGCCCGAGGAGTTTGTTGTGTTTTGTCGAATCGAGGGTTAATACCCAAAATTGTTCCGGTTTTTGCCTTTTCAGGTTCGGAGGACTATATTGTTACGTAGTTAAGTTTATAGATTAGCTGGGTTCCTTAAATTCGGAAAGTTCAAAAGTAAACGAAGCGTCTAATACTCAGGTTCTATTTTTACCTAGTTCATATCATGTGACTTCTTTATACGCAATTAAAGAGGATTTTGAAAACTCTAAGCTTTGATTCAAGTTAGTTTTACTCATGATGCGGCTGCAATTTGGCTTCAAACTTTCAACCCATATTTCATTCAAATGAACCTCATTCGATTACTACCTAAATTAAACGATCGGGCAAGAACTAGCCCATATTTTTTTAAGTACAAACTCGTTGCTAATCCAAAGTTTTTTAAGATTTTTTGCAGCATTTTTCAAAGTGTTTTTGCAGTGTTTTGGAATTTTTTGATAAAAAGCACAAGTCTCGGGTTAAGCTGATCACAAACTATAACGGGTTTTCAGTAATGGAGCATGATTGAATAAAATTTAAAATGTTAAAATATTAAAAACTTCTCTTTTTAAATAACTTACTTCTGTTTTTTTTTCTAGAGCAAAATACTTCATCAATGCGGTCACAAGTAGCAGCGAAATCAATTCATCAAAATTCCTTCAATTTGGAGTATTTTTCTATAAATTTACCAAACTAAGACCATCATAGGAATTAATTTGCGTTCCACAAAAGTTTGTCTAGTTTTTTTTGTCGAACTTGAAACATTCCAAATGTATATGCAAATCGTCCAGTAATTTGATTTTCGACTCAGAATTTTCTTCTGACAACACGATCACAACAAAAAACGGCAAGACACAAACGGCAATTCAAATATTTGAAGAAGTTTAGCTACTCTTTAAACTAGAACATCAAACAAATTACAAGGGAAAAAAGAAATTATTTAATAATCTCAACTACCTATTTGATGAACAATTACCGCTCGGGAAAGTGTCATTATCGAAATTTTATCGCTTTCGAAAATCAGATGACATGAACTGCAGGTTTTTTTTCTGCTATGCTTCTTCATTTACTCAACTGTAATTCGATAGAGAATGGGTAATTTGACCAGATCTTTTACTAACAGTTCTGATACAGAATTAGCCAAAATTCATGTAAAACTTGAATTATGAGGTAAATGTTTTGTATCACTGAATTGTCTGCTGAGAAAAAAAAAGTTGAAGATGTGTGCAACAGAAAAAGTTAAATCATACTACGCATTTTTCAGTGCCTTTTTCCGACTGGAGAAATCTCAGACAGCTGGCCATTAAGCGCTATTGAGAAAATAAAAAAAATTGTTTCGAATCTTTTCCCATTTTCAAGAAAGACTTTTTGTGCCAGGATCATCCGACCTTTTTTCACGAAGGCTAAAATAGGCCGAATATTGTTGAGATCAGGAGATTGACTCCTAGTTTCCCTAATGGCTTCCTAGTTTTCCTCAAAATCGCAATCCAAACTTTTTATAATGGCAGCGTGCACCATCCTGTTGAAAACGGTAATCTGGTCCAACCAAGAGAAAGAACTTTTGTTCTAAAAATTGGGTACGGCTTCCATTCAACATTTCCCCTACTTTCAATATGTTTTAAATTAATCCTTATCTAGTCTAACGTTTTATCTTCCTCAATCCATTTTCACTGAATTAGTAATTGTACTTGGGATCGATGCTTTGTTAGGACCCGGTGGACGCCTTCTCAAATTTGCTTCCTAGGCAACAACTGAAAATGCTTCGTCGCTGAACATTACTTCTCCAATTTTCGTGATTATTCCTTGCCCTTGCTGGTGCCCATTTATTGCAGTCAATTGCTGCTTTTTTCAAAAAGCTCATATTTTCTCAACAATCATGTTTGCGCTAGGATAAAAATGATAGTTGCATGTTTTTATGGTAGACCATCGTACAAAAGTATACTACGACAAATCCTAGCCTCAATATACTATATAGAGCAAAAAATACGGCAACTAATGCTAAATAAAATCAATCTTAATTTTTTTGTCTATTTTTTCCTTCATAGAGCAACAACCAACCCAATTTTGATTTGAAACTGTTCAACCTAAATCCTATCAAAAACCAAATTGCGTAAAAATTAGAATTTTAGAAAAATAAAAAAGTAAATTTTTTGTCGTATGTTATAAAAATATTTAAAATAACCACCACTTTTATCAGCCAGCCAATCATTTGAAAGAAAAAATTGATTATACCAAAATAGTAATCAAAACCTTGTTTCTACATTTCAGTGGCGTGCACAGAAATTTTTTTGAAACTCATGCGACCTTTTTCTTTTAGGTAGAACAATTTCAATTTCTGAGCTCTCGGAAAATTTTACACGGACCCCATTTTGTCAATCATTTTCTGCGCTGCAGGCCAATTAAAAAAAAATAAAAAGGCTGTAAAAAAAATAAAAAATAGATGTCGTAAGACTATACCAAAAAACTGACCCCTTGTAAAAATATTATTATCTCTTTTGGCTGTAACATTGATACTCAGGAGACCTCTGTCAGGTTTTGCAAAAAAATGTTTCCTGAAATTCCTTACTGGAGAAAGAGAAATTTTTAAATGCCTGACATGGCATGAAAAAAAAACCTTTTTGAAGCAAACTTCGAATTATAAGTAGCGTCTGCGTAAAGTACGCATAAAATTGATTTTGATAGTTTTTTTCCAGTTCGTACGATATCTGAAAAAATTGAAAAAGTATCGAATCATTGTGTTTTCAGTTTTGTCAGAAAAATGATTGGTATATAATGTCGAAGGTTGAGATTAGTATATAATGTCTGAGACAAGTGAAACTGGCTTGAAATCTTTAACCAAATTATGTAATATGTGTTCATAATTCTAAAAAAAACTTGTATCTGATATGTGACTTAGTTGTTATACGTTTGCATTTAATCTGTATGAAGTATTATTAATTCTGACAGTTTTCCCTTTGCTTACAAGAAACAAACCTAGAAAGATTGTTATAAGCTGATGATTTGTGTTCATCGAAGTTTTCTAGAACAAAAAAAAACTTTCCAAACCTGAAACCTGTACAAAAGCAACAAAAATTGATTTACAAAAAAAAGAGTTTTCGTCACGGCGGGGGCATAATCTGTTTGGTCGGGACGACTATAACGCATATCGAGGAGAGCAGAACATTTACTGTTTTGTCCAAGTTGGTCGACTTTTCGAAGTACAAATATTAGAAGAAACTAATTTTTTTTTGTGTTTTAAAAGCATCAGTTAAAAAAGAAAACAATCTGTCTTCGATTCGTTTGTGTGCATTTAATGATTATGTACAGATACGAATTTTTTTTTTACTGAAACTAAATCAATTTTTGTTCTTAAATTATCAATTTTGTACAGTAAGAAGCCAGTAAAAAATGATATGTAATCTGTAACAATTCTGTGAAAAAACAAAATTATGTTTATCCTCTATTTCATCAAAATTTCAATGTTTCAATTAAATATTTCGCTAAAAAAACTATTTTGCTAAAAAAAGGCTGAAAGGTCAATTTTAAGCCTCAAAAATTTCATGAAACTTTTTCATAAATTGATGACATTTAACAAAATCGTTCAAATAAGAAACATTTTTGTCAGTGTTTCAGCGAGCTGAATTCGGGTTATAAGTTTAAGATTTATGAATGTTCTTCAAAAGCGTTTTCTAGACTTTATATAATGAGTGCTCCTTATATTATGAACAAAATATACAAAAAGAATGTAAATTTCTACGCAGAACTAGCTTTTGCTGCAAAACGGTCGCATTTTACCGAATTTCATTGTTGTTTTTCAGAACTCACTACGCCAAGAAAAATCACCTGAAAAGCATTCATTATAGTTGCATTTTCAGTTTACTTGTACACTTGATTACCGAGAAAATTGAGAAACTCAATATAAAATCGGTATGAAATGTCTGTTCATTATGCAAATTTGTTTTATAATTTCTGGTTTGAAACTCTTTTTTATTCCGTTCCAAGATGTATTATTTATGTGAAGAGTTCTTAGTTTATGGTTGATATCTTTGAAACATGAGTTTTGTTTCTGATCTCACTTATTGAATAAACATCACACCTAACCTTTCTTTCGATCGTTGTAACCTGCGAAACTACAGTTTGCGACTGGTTACTTTGCGAACTTGTTTGCGAACTTGTTTGCTGAATTCCCATGAACAACTTCATGCACTTCCTTATATGGAATAGTCATGGTTGGTTAATCATCGAGAAGTTTGATTACTTGTTCAAAATTCGGTTTTGGGAGTTCAGTAAAATGCCGACATTCAATTTCCATCAATTCAATTTTCTTCTAATGTTATCAATGATCAGTCAGTGTCAATCAAGATCGTCCTATCAATATCAGGAAAATATTACACACAATATCAAAACTGAGGTTAGCTCGTATATTGTGAATGGTTTCAATACGCCATTTGGTCGGGATTTTTTCGTTTCTCTTGCCCATAGTAATTTTGAAACATATTGCGGGGCAGGGATTTTGGAACCGTACTGGGTCATTACGGCTGCTCATTGCATAGCTCATCTTCCAGGTAATTCATTTTCTCTGAAGAATGTTTACAAATTTCAGAAAAAAAAACAGACAAAAAATTTGTTCAAGTCACAAATTTAGCAAAAGCAAAGCTCGAAAAAATGAAATTGAGCACGAAATACAGCTGTCGCAATTTATTAGCTTAAAACAAAACGGCCGCGCACCGAAAAAGTTCTTAATTTTGGACGAAAAAAACTAAAAAAATTTTTAAATACGTAAAAATGCCCAAATTTTTTAAAGCTGTCTTTGAATGAAGCAGAGATTTCCTTAAAAACCTTTACTTCTGGCCAAAAATAGCTAAATGAATAAAAGAGTTTTCGTGAACCAGAAAAAACACAGCAATCATACAAAGCTACAAGAAGTAATCAAACGCAACAGGCAAAGCCATTTGATATAATTTAAATTTTGTTGCAGTCTGTGTTAATTAGCGTTGTGTTTCTACGACTATTATTTCCAACCAAAGCTTGTAATATCAAACATCAAATAGCTGAACAGTTAATTGATTTTGAATTTGTCTGAAAAACATTTGTTTATAACTTCAAATGAGAAACAGATCGTTTCTTTACAGAAGCCACAAGTCTTAGGTTTCGAAGTAATCGGATTGAGTATGAGTTTTTACCTATGGTTGCTCGGGTTGAACTCCATAGACCAAAATTACTAATACTACAATTCCATAAACTAAGTCTATGAAAAACATACTGATCATGATGGCAAACACAACCGAAAATTTTACAGAAATAAATTTATAAAGAAAAAATCAAACTTTTTGGTTTATGGAAAAACACCTATCATACAATTTTCATTTATGGAAAAATGTTTATCATAGAGATTTCATACAATTTTTTGTACGTATGGCCTTGTATGGAATTGTATGACAAGAAGTTTCTCATATATGGGAATTGTATGATTAGAAGTTTCGGTCATCCCGGGCATACTTATTTCATATATTTTGCTAAGATGGTAAAATCGTATTTTTTTCTTGCTTTGACAAAATATTCGGTGCATCGTACTAAAAAAAGAAAACTTTTTGTCAAAAAAAAATTAATCATACAATTTCCATACATGGAAATTATATGATCAGTAGTTTTTGATGGTGACATCAAGTAATTTTGAAATTGCCCCCAAAACTTATTTGTATTGTTTTTTCAAGCACAAATCGAATTTTGTACTAAAACAATTTTTTTCCCAAGCTAATTTTTTTCTGGAAAATTTAAGTTTTTTTGTGTGCATTACGTAATCCTGGATACATTAAAAATGCGTTTTTTCTTTATCGCCTAATAACCTAGCCCCTAAGCAGTAAAAACTCCTCTTTCTTTTGTATGGCATGTTTATGTATGCCTTGATCAATGTCTGATTTAACGTTTGATCAAATTTTTTGAAAAAAATCAGAAAAAAGTTTGAAAAATTGTTTGTGTTATATTATTTGTGTAAGACATAATTAGATTATTCAAGCCGTTTCCAATGCAATTTTAATGCAAGACGGTCAAACCTTTGGTTCCTCTACGTTTGAGTAACCAAGGTTTCAGTCACTTGTGTTCTGTTACGAACACAACCAAAAGTTTTTCCATATAGGAAAAACTATGGTCGCACAATTTCCATATATGAAAAATCACTTATCAAAGACCTTTCATGCAATTTTCTGTACTTCTTGAACTGTATGAAAAATGTATGACTAGCATTTTTGGTGAACCCGGGAAAATACCAAGCTTTGCAGTCATTACGAGGCCAAACTGTGCACTGCAGGCCAAACTATGCATGTTTTCTGATGTTTATTTTTATTTTCCTATATGGATTATGAATGATTATGAGCCAAGCATGATTCACTACAAAGTCCAATTTAAAATTTTGCTCCTATCAGTTTGTTCGGTCAGGCATTTTTTGAATAAAAATTTGAAGTAAAGTTGACCGCATGCTTGCCTCGATTTTTTTGTTTCCTTAAAACTATCGAAACACAATAAAAAGAGATTACGCCTGAAATTTATATTAAACTATTGAAAAAAGAAAAAACCAAAAAATGCCTCATCTTGTGATAGCAACAAATTTCCATTTCATAACATCACTTAAGGAAAAAGACTAGTATAACGAAAATTGTTACTTTTTCTGAAGAAGACACCGCAATGTTACCAAAACAAGCTTTATGAATAATGGATAAAGCAAGAGCTAAACCCAGAAGTTGGCACGTTTATCGCTTAACCCCCATCTTTCCATTTAAACAAGAGAAACAACCCTGAGGTTTTCACGCTCATTGCTCCAGACTCATCATTCAATTGAAACAAGAAAAAAAACGCTGAAGTTGTCACGCTTATCGCTTAATCCTCATCATTCAATTAAATTAGAAGAAATGCTGAAGTTTTTAGGATCATCGCTTAATCCTTTTTCAATCACTACTTCTAACATTAAAAAAGCTGAAGAATTCACGCTCATCAATTAACCCTTTTCAAACAAATAAAAACAAGAAAAAAACTGAAAAGATCACTCTCCTTGTTTAATCCTCATCAATCAATTAAAAAAGAGAAAAACGCTGAGAACTTCTCGCTCATTGTTGCTTAATCCTCATGATTTAATTAAAACACCACCCAAAAAATTTTAGAACGTTAACTCAAATAAAAACCAAGCTTTTTGGTTTATCGAAAAATGCCAGTCACACAGTTTCCATTTATGAAAAAAAAATTAACCATAGTTCCTTCATACAATTTTTTGTAAATTGAATTGCATTCAAAGTGTATGATTAGAATTTTTCCATGATGACAGTTGTTTCAATAGCATTTTTGGTCAACCCGGGAATGCAATCTAATTGTAACTTCGCTCGTGTTGAGTTTTTCTCTCTTTTTTGAATATCATATATGAATGATAAAGAACCACGCTTTTTTCACCATAAACGATTATGAATGATTAGATTTCAATGGATATGACTCATTATTTACCAAGCAAGATTCACTACAAAGTGGAACCTAAAATTGAGCTCCTATCAGTTTGTTCGATCAGACATTTTTATTAAAAAAAGACCTCATGCTTGCCTAGTTTTTTTGTTTCCCTAGATCTATTGAAACAAAGCAAAAATAGAGTAGACCTGAACCTAATTTTGACAATTAAAAAAAAAGAAAAAACCAAAAATGCTGCATCTGGTGATAGCAACAAAACTTCCACTTGATAACATGACTTAAAGAAAGAGACGAATTCAATGAAAGTTGTTACAATTTTCTGGAAAAGACAGCGCAAGGCGACCAAAAGTTGCTTAATGAAACATTGAATAAAGCAACAGAAAAAACCCAGAAGGTTTCACGCTCATCGCTTAATCCTCATCAAACCAACAAAATGAGAAAAAAAGCTGAAACCTTCACTTTCATCGCTTGATCATCATCATTCTTTTACGACAAATGAAAAACGCTCATGTTTTCATGCTCATCGTTTAATCCGCATCATTCAGTTAAAATAAATGAACCAAAGCTTAAGTTCATAAGATTATCTTAATCATCCTCAATCAATTAAATTAACAGGAAAAACGCTGAAATTTTCACGTTAATCGCTTAATCTTCATCATTCGATTGAAAAAAAAAATGAAGTTTTCACGCTCATGGTTAATACTCATCAACCAATTCAAAAAATGAGAAGAAACTCTGAATATTTCACGCTTAATGTTGTTTAATCCATATGATTCATATAAAACACAACCCAAAAATGTTGAGAATTTAAACTTGAAAATATCAAAGTTTTTGGTGTATGGGAAAACTCATACAATTTCAATATATGAAAAATAACTAATCATAAACATTTCTACGAAATGACTAGCATTTTTCTAAAAATGAAATTTGTATGACTAGCTTTTTGGTCAACCTGGGTGTGCAACCTGATTGTAACTTCGCTTTGTTCAGTTTTCCTGTGTGTTTTTTTATATATATCATAAATGGATATAAATGAATAAGAACCAAGCTTGATTCACTAAAAAAGATTATGAATGACTAGAATTGAATAGATTATGATTCATTATGTACCAAGAAAGACTCAGTACAAAATGAGACGTAAAATTCTGCTCCTATCAGTTTGTTCGATCAGATATTTAATAAAAAATCCAGGAAAAGTTGACCTCATGCCTGCCTCGTTTTTTTGTTTCCTTAGATCTATTGAAACAAAGCAAACATAGAGTACGCCTGAATTTTAGTTTTGACTATATAAAAATTAAAGAACCAAAAAATGCCTCATCTGGTGATAGCAACAAGTTTCCAATCCAAAACAAAATATGAAGAAAGACAAGAGTTCAAGGAAACTTGTTAAGATTTTCTGGAAAAGACACTGCAAGGCGACTAAAACCAGCTCATTGAAACATTGAATGAAGCGAAAATTGGCAAAAAAAGGCACGTTCCTTGCTTAATTCCCATTTTTCCATTTAAACAAGAGAAACAACGCGTAAGTTTTCTCGCTCATCGCTCAATAGTCATCGTTTAATTGAAAAAAGAAACAAACGCTGAAGTTTTCACGCTCATCGCTTGATCATCACCATTCTTTTGAAAAAAAAGAAAAACGGTTAATTCTTCTCAATCAAATAAATTAACAAGAAAACGCTAAAATTTTCACGCTCATCGCTTAGTCCTCAACAATAACTTAAAACAAGAAAAGAGCTGAAGTTTTTAGGCTCGTCGCATAACCCTCCTCGATCATTTAAAATCAGAAAAAAAACATTAAAAAAATAAAATGATCATCGCTCTATCCTCCCCATCTTTTAGAGCAAGAAAAACGTTGAAGTTTTTACTGTCAACATTCAACACGTATCTTTCAATAAAAACCAGAAAGAAAAGATTGAAACTTTCAGACTCCTTGCTTTATCCTCCTCACTCATTTCGAACAAATCAAAAGATGCTGAGGTTTTCGCGCTCAGCTTAATCCTCTTTCGCTTAATCCTCGTTAAAAAAAATTAGAGCAAGAAGAAATACCGAGGTTTGCTCATCGCTTAATCCTCTTCAAAGTTTACAACAAGAAAAAAGCTTAGATTTCACGCGCATCGCT